TAGAACTACAATATATAAAAAATTTAGTTCTAGATTATTTGTATATTTATACAAATATCCTTTTGAACTCAGTTCTGAATTTCTGCCATTATGCTTTTTCCAGCTTTGCACGACCATACTAAAAAAAATTATATCTCTCTGCAGGGACGTCCAAACCATGATCCGCTTGTGCCATTAGAAAGAGGGCTTATGAAACTAAAGTGTATAAAAAGTTAAGGTCCAGATTCTTTGTCAACTAATACAAATATGCTTTTGAATTCACTTATGAATTTATGGTATTCTACTTTTCAGTTTTCACATCTTTGAGCATTATGACTAAAAGAAAAATCACATCTATGTGCATACACGTCGAATAGACAATACGCTTGTGCTGTTAGATAGAGGACTTCTACAACTACAATATATATAATAATCAAGTCCAAATTATTTGTATATTTATAAACATATTCTTTTTAACTCAGTCATAAATTTATGTTATTATGTTTTTCACAGCTTTGCGCGCATCGACTAAATAATTATATCTCTCTACAGGCACATCAAAACAATAATCCGCTTGTGCCATTGGAAAGAGATTTCTGGAACTACAATATATACAAAAATTATGTCCAGATCCTTTGTAGATTTGTCTCCTTTCTTCGTTAATATCCATTTTTCTTTATGTGAAATATTTTGTGGTTGTTATGTATTCACTATGATTGAACTATATTTTGTACTTTAGTTGTATTACGATGGTTCACATATCATGGTCTTTTAATTACTTTCATCAGCACTTTTGACCATCGTTGTTGATGTACTATTTTTCTTGGTTGAGTCCAACACAATAATTATGAAGGTGAATTTTGTACCTTTTTCTTAAATAGCCAAAGTACCTCAATCGGGTTCACAAGTAGGAAATATAATTTTGTATTTTTTTTGTGTGCAGGCTACTCATAAATGTAAAGATATTGTCAGTTAATACCATTCCTCAGTATGAGTCATGGAGAAAGAGTTTGGGTGCCAATTCAAGTGGTTGGTCAATTAAGTACTATTAGGTTTGTGTACCAAACATTTCATAAAACTATCAAACTTGCCTTTCTACCAATTATTCTTTTTATTGCTTTGATAGGATTTTGTGCAAGTTGCCGATGCACTACTGCTTCTTGAGGAGGTTCAAATACATTCTATTTTCGTGTATCAAAACTCATAAATTAATTGTTCATCTCTAAATTCGTCAGGTCCACTATATTCCTTGCCTCAAAGGCGGATGTAACCTTATATAATCAGGTAATGAGTCTGAACCTCTAATTTTAAAATATAATAGGTTTCAAGCTAAAACTATGCACTCATAAAGTTTAAATTCAGGTTCCGTCCCTGCCTTATCGAAGGCTTATCTTGCTCGAACATATGTCAAGATGGTTGGATACAAGTGCATATTCAATGGGCATGCTTTGATCTAGCTGTTGCTACTTGGTAATTCTTTTTGTGACTGATTCTTTCTCAAATTACATAGACCTATGGCCTGGAATATTAAACCATAACATGCTTCACCGCCAAGAAAACCGTGATGGTTGATGAAGTGCACCATAAATATCGTCAAAGTCAAAAGTACATAAGAAACAATAGGTACTCCAGATCAAAACTATGAAACAATTTTTACATAGCAATTTTGAAGTAGTTATTGGCAATTTTAATTTTGAAGTTTATTTGAACCACTGATTGGCTTCAGGATATGAAGCGACACTAAAATGAGAGCAGTTGAGGCTCGGAAAACAGCTGCAACACCAGCCACATCACCACAATTGATCAAATCTCTACCGCCACGATAATTATTGAATTGCTTCAGCCACTTCCAAGTCAGATGATACTTGTGGAAGTCACCCTAATCAAGCAACTCTGCTATGCAAACAACAAACAGAGAAACCAAAAATAAAAAAATAAATTCAATGCAATCATGGAGAATTTATCAATTCAAGCAGCAATTTGATTGATGAATACAAAGAAATGGCATGTAATCGATTTAAGCCTGCCAAATTTTTTTTAGAAACAACTCAAAGAAATTCATCTATTTTTTTTTTTCAGTTTAATTCTTTTGAGTGCGGTTGTTAAATTTTGTTTGCAATACACATCTTTTTCTATTATCACTTTCTGCTTTTTTTCCCTTTGAATTAATCCGCGCATCGTGGGGGTACGACTACTAGTTACATAATATAAGCAAAAGTTAAATCGATCATTGCCAGTAAATCTAAGGGCAAAAAGGGCAGCCCGGTGCACAAGGCATTCCGTGTTCACACAGGGTCGGGGAAGAGCGGCACCCTAAGGAGTGTGATCATAGGCGGACCTATCCTATACCGAAAGGGGACATCGGCACCCGTAAAGTTCGGCAAATATTCCACATATACATGTAAATGTCTTTAGAAAATAGTGATATATTGGTACTAGGCACCCTATATACAAAGCAGATTATGGTTGAATCTGAAACTGCACCCACGACCTTCAAATCCTGGGTCTGCCTCTGAGTGAGATATAGACAGTCTGCCCTAATGCAAGCATTTCTAGTTGCTACCACGGCTCGAACCCCTGATCTATAGGTCACACGAAGACAATTTTACCGTTGCTCCAAGAATCCCCTTCATTGGTAGTAAATCCAACTCCACAAATACATAGAACATATACCAAAATTATTTGCTCTTAAGACTTCGACCATGCATAGTCCTTTTCACATAAAATGCCTCAATTTTGAAACTAACAAACTTCTGCAAAGCCACTGCTAATCTCTACAATGCTGGCTACAACATACAGTTCAATATCATCTATTTAATCTTAATCTATATATTCACGGTCTTGAATCCAATGAACTTATCTGAATCTGTACACGTTTTTTGTATTGCAGTAGTGTCCTAGCCAACTTGCTCGCAACAATTTCACCTAGAACTCTCAATCTTCTATTACTAAAGGTACCGAGTAACCCTGTCCATCAAAACTTAGGTAATTGAGAAGAAATCACCTAACTTTTTTCGCCTCTACTATGATTGGTGTCCTATGATCTTCCATACCTTTGGGTACAAAGCTTGAAACAGAAGATAACTGGCAACAACTATTCTAAAGGACAAATTAAGTTCTTAATTTAGCCATTCACGAGACAAGTGCACAAATAGCCATTCTCAGAAATGCTATTTAGGGATTACCCCGTACTTATTGTTGTCCTGAAATTTTAAACCAAAAATCTTAACTTCAGGACGACTCAGGCCATTTTAATCATGAAAATTAAACTGAAAAGCTCAAATCCAGGATGCACTGGCTAATTCTTCAATAACGGTTCTTTAGAGTGGCTACCTTCTACGCCATTCACCTAATCTGAGAAAACCTGATTCCGTAAAATATCTCTATTAATGATTGTATCAAATAAAGGAAAACTAACGAAAGCCATCTAAACCTTTAAAAAAAAAAAAAAAAAAAATAGACCTAAAATTTAACGCCTTTATATGCAAAACCTAGTACTACCTGCAAAAAAATCATTCAAATGTTTATATCATTCATGGGTTGGATTGAAATGGCTAGCATTGCCACTATAACTGATGCACTTTAACATCATTGATTGTATGTTCCAATTTATGGATCTTAGCTGCAATTTTTGTGTGTTTGATTTCAGACTCCTGCAGTCTCTTTTTGTCTTCTTGAGACGAGGGTTGTTGTTGTTGTTGTTATTGATTTCAGACTCTCGCAATAAGTAGTCTCTATGATTTCCTAACAGGATTTCAGAAGCAATCTCTCCCTCCAACAACCTTCGCCAACCAACTTCAATTTCTTCTTCTATATCTTGACGTTTAATTCTTCTTCAACTTGTCTAGATTTAGTATTTCGAACGACTAAGAGAGAGGGGAAACCAAAAATATTGAACTACACTCTGTTTGGATCATTGTTCCCCATCGTTTCATAATGCATTGTATTGTATCCTATCGTTTTATGAATATAATGTTTAGATAGATTGTACTGTTTGTTATTGTTAAATCATATTTTGCTGTTTGGTTTGACGTATCGTACTGTAACTGGTTAATTTACTAAAATACCCTCAATTGTTTAAATATTAAATTTATCAAAAAAATATGCATAAAATAATTTTAAAAAACAAAACAGAAGAAGACAAAACACCTTAAGAAAGCAGAACAAAGGAGTGAGACAGAAGAAGGCAAAACAAAGGAGCACAGCTAATTAGAATTGAGTTAAAAGTAAATTAGGAGAAAAAATAAAACAGAAGGCGGTAAAACACCTTTAACGTTGGCGGCAGAAGTTCTGGAAAAAAAATAAAGTAGGTTATAGGTTGGAGATTTGGAGTTAAAATAACAAAAAAACTAAAAGATAAAATAAAATTGTGGAATAATAAGTTACGGCATAATTGGAAAGAAAAATAGGAAACAATCCCACCACACCAAATCAGTTATTTAAAAAAAGGGAACTTTTCATTGTTCCAGAATAATGGATTTAACAATACAATACAACCAATTTTCATGAAACAATCAAACAAACATTATTTTGGGATAACAATACAATACGATACAATGGGGAAACAATCATCAAAACAAGCTGCAACTCTTTTGCTATTTTGTTTGGGATAAAAAAAAACGAGAAGAGTTTGGATGTTAGTACTGACCTCCGCAAAGAATTTTATATTTTGAAAACCACAAGTCTTATGGATACCGTCAAACCTATCTATAACAACATCCCTATATAACAACATTTCGTTATACGGTTTCACTTCACTATACTGTTTGACTGTAAAGTAAAGACGGAAGTCCTAATCCAACACAAAAACCAAAAATTAATCGAAGCCTATTCCCTCCATATATAGTACTGCTACTGAAGTCCTAATCCAACACACAAACAAATTTCGAATTTAATTTTTGAAAATAATAAATAATTGATTTCAATCTTATGTATTTTCACAAGATATGGACGGTGTCCAATGCCAAGTTTCATTATTCAGAAGATTTTGATTCAAAACGTGAGTCCTCTTATGTCGTACTTGGATTATATTAGACATGTGAAGCACGTTATATAAATGTCAGAACTAAATAGATTATGTAATAGGAATTATAAGTTCAGAATTTATGTTTTTTTATTTTAAATTTTGCCTACAATAATTTTGTAACAACATATCAAAAGTCCATCCATTACTCATCAGTCAAAACACATTTTTCACGTAATTCTACATTCTTTATTAACGGCTATAAAATATAGACAACCAATTGGTTACCAAATACCAACCTTACCCATCAAGATTAGCTTTAAATATCACAGTAGCAGCAATAATAAGATTTTGTATTCTCATAGCCTAGAAATCGCCGATGGCTAGCAGAGCACGAATCAAAACTTGGTGGATAATGAGGTCGTCCTTCTACCATTCTTCACTTAAATACCAAGTTTTTGTTAGCAGCAGAATTTGAACTAGTGACATGTGCCAACCACAAATCATGCATTGCATTCTAACCACTGAACCCAAGCCCTGGGCCAACAATCACAGGACCTTTTACGAGTTATGTTCACATTTTGTTGAATAACTAAGGAGACCTAAATGGAAAACCTTAGCTGCCAATGCAAATGCCAGTTACATAGAGAATGCACTCTTACCAATCCTTTCCTTGACAGATTACCAGTTCATGTTTCACAGTTTGCTATTTCAAAAATTGCCCCTAAATCTGCATGGAAACCATAAGAAACAATCATGTGGAAAATGAGTACGAAGTTTCCTATATAGACAGACTAATGAAGCCTATGACCCACATACAAATTAAACCACGAAGTAAGTAAATTGATCGCTATAGGACATATTAGCAAAGCATTTTCCTACAAGAAAAAAAATGTTTATAACATGTTAATGAAGCATCTAATGAACCAAAATTATGTGTACATAATTCTTTTGTAGGTAAAGAAACAGTTGGAAGTATGTTGTATATGCCGGTCCTCAAAATGTCACAGCTGGGTAATTATCCAATATAATCGGCGTTGAACTAAAATACCACCTTTGTCATCCCACCTTTTGACAACCTTTAGGTAAGCGGGCTGGTTTTTGAAGTACAAATAACCCAAAGCAAAAGCTAGTTGAAAAAATTTCAGCTTTCCCAGTTTTACATCCTTAGTGTGTATAGATTAAGTGGGTTATCTATCAAGGTAAGAAATATATTAGACAGAAACTTGTGATGTTTGACAAAAGTATCATTAATGAAGATGTTACAAGAAACCATGTTATGATAGAATCTTCAAAGAATAGATGCTTTTTCCGTTTTGTAAAAATGGATCAAAACTTTTTGAGCCTGTCTACGGAAGAAAGTGGGTCCCACAAATCAATATGAAGGGATGCTTACTTTCCATCGGTTGGAATGTGGAGGTTGATAATAAAATCTGGCAACATTACATGGGTTTAAGCATTTGCATAATTTATTGACAAGTATTCTCTGTGATTTGAAGGTCATAATGCTACAGTTTTGTGTAATCAATAACAACATTGCGTTGTTCAACCAGTGACTTTATCTAATGCCAAGGACAGATCCAGTTTCATAGATACTAAAAGTGAACAAGAAGTCTAGTTCACAATATGAAGAAGTGACTTCATCGCCAATTAGTTCATTTGATCAGGGAAAGCATAAAAAGGAAGGAAAAGAAGCAAGGGCAGACTTAAGACTAGCAGTAGCACACAAAAGTTTCAACCAAGATCCACACAATTAATATCTTAATAATGGAAGAAAGTAAAAGCACCAACTAGTATTTAAATACATATACTTGACAAGAGAGAGTAACGGCTGGGGAAAGATTTGAATAAGAGAGGACCTGGATCAGGGATTTTTGATGTAGTTGCACAAAGCTCTTGACTTGGACAAGCATCATCTTCTAGCAGATTACAAATAGGGGATCTTGCAATCTGAAAATTGAAGATGGATGAAATTTTCAAAAGATCAAATAGGCTTGAACAGTCCAACTAAAAGATGTATTTGCTTAAACTTGGGACTTTTGCTCAGCAGCTGCTATACCTTCAGGGGCCTCCTCAGTAATTTTGCTTGCCAACCTAGAAACTCATAGCTGCCAATGCAAATGCAAGTTGAGCAGAGAGTGGATTCTTGTCAACATAACCATTGCTACATGAAACCAGTACTTTGAGCTCCATAGTTGCCACTATTTCTGCAAGTGTTACTACATCTGCCAGCAAAACATATAAACATGGGGGACAAGTGACTATGATGTGTTTAATGTAGACAGTGAAGCTTATAAGTCTATCGAAAGCAAATTAACTAGGTATTTTATCATACTCAACTGAAGTCCATTCCCTTCTACCAATAATCTCCACATGAACAAATACCATCCTGGAAATGATGGTAACGGATAGGATCTCTTATGACAATGCTCCGACGCTCTATCTGTGCTAAAAGTTTCGCAAATAAATGGCAATCTCCACAGATCCTGAGATTCTTCCTGATTCTAATGGTCTTCTCTCTAGACAGGCTCATTACACCAAAGGAAACAGCTATTTTCTCACTGTGGTACAGAAGTGAGTCTTCCATCTGTTCACCTTCAAGATCTTGCAAGACAAAGTTTGTGTCTGGAACATATCCCACCTCTTTTAATCTCCAAATAATCTGATTTAGCTCTTTTTTAATTTCCTCTATTTGTGGATGGGAGTTGTCTCCCATAATAAAAGCATGGATCTGTTTGTTCACTTCAACCCAGCTGCATCCTGGTTCCTTCTTCACTCCTCTTTCCCTCATGGACTTTCTCAAGTCAACAACGTCTTCCCATTTGTGAGTGTGCGCATAAATATTAGATAGTAATATGTAAGTTCCTGCATCACTTGGATCCAGCTTAATAATTTGTTTGGCAGCATATTCAGCTAAATCCATTTTTCGATGTACTCTGCAGGCACCAAGCAATGTTCTCCATGTCACTGCGTCTGGTTCACATTCCATTTCATGGATTAATTTCACCGCCTCATCTAGCTTCCCAGATCTTCCAAGAAGATCAACCATGCAACCGTAGTGTTCTCTTCCTGGATCAATACCAAAGAGTTTCTTCATTGAGCGGAAGTAATATTGCCCATCTGCTACCAGGCCTGCATGGCTGCAAGCAAATAAAACTCCAAGAACAGTGATGTAGTTTGGTTTGATCCCTGAGACTTTCATCTCCTTGAATAATTCCAGTGCTTTTCTGCTGAAACCATTCTGGGCGCAGCCTATGATCATGGTGCTCCAGGAGATCACGTCTTTCTCTATCATCCGAGTAAATATTTGGTGGGAATCTTCCAAATTGCCACACTTGCAATACATGTCCAAAAGTGCATTGTTAAGGATTAGGTCCCGCTGGAACTTGAGTACATGAACATGGACTTGACTTCCCACTTCTAAAAGTGCCAAACTAGTACAAGCTCTAAGAACACTTGTCAAGGTCGACTGATCAGATGAGAATCCAGCTCTCTTCATTCTTTTGAAGAGAGTCAAAGCTTCATCCCCATCACTGTTTTGAGCAAATCCACCAATAATGGAGTTCCAGACAACAAGATCCCCTGTCACCATCTCATTAAAGGTGCACAATGCACACTCGAGTTGACCCATTTTGGAGTAAACATCAATAAGAGCACTTCGGACAAATACGTCAGACTCCAGACCAACTTTGAGTATGCTGCAGTGGAGCTGCCTAAGATTGGACAGGTCATCACAAGCTCTCAGAACAGAGGAGTAAGTAAACATATTAGGTCTCACACCATCTCTCAGCATGAGGATCAAAAACTCCAAAGCCTTGTTGTTGATCTTAGCGCTAGAGTAGGCAGCTATCATTGTAGTCCAGGAGACAACATTTCTGTCAGACATTTGATCAAATAAAGCTTGTGCTTGGTCTAGCATGTTAAACTTCACATACATGTTAATAAGTGTGTTAACGAGGAACGTTTTGGGCTCATAACCATTGGAGAACACATGTTGGTGGACCCGTTTGCCTTGCTCGACTGCGCCACGAGCCAAGCAGCACTTAATGAGTTCAGAGTAGGTGACGGCATCAGCCCATATCTTGTGAGTTTGCAAGGAATTTAATGCTTTCATAGCCCTGGGAAGATCCCTTTGATAGCAGTAAGTTGTGAACTCATTGAGCATATCATTACATTTTATTGATCCTGTCTCATTCTGCCACTGAGTTGCTACACCAGAGTAACAGCACAGATGTTGAAGCAGATGTCCAAGTGCAAAGAGTGGAGGAGATGGACCAATAAAAACCAGACCATATACTGGTGCGAGTTTGGCTTTGAATCTCAGTAAGGATTTCATCTCATTTTATGTTGTAGGACTGTGAAGATTTTCAGAAAAGCAATACAGTATGAGCGACAATAGTAATTACCAATCAAGTGCCTTACACAAATTTTCTTTCAACATAATTAAAAGGCAGCTCGGTGCACTAAGCTCCCGCAATGTGCAGGGTCCGGGGAAGGTATGGACCACGTTAGGTCTTGTGTACGCAGCTATATCTTGCACTTTTGCAAGAGGTTGTTACTGCGGCATGAACCCGTGACCTCCCGAAAACATAACTGAAATGTAAAATTTGCAACTCATACGGTTTTAGATGTAGTTTCTACTTCTCTAGTAATTCAGAAAGTTTTATCCACGTTTAACCTCCAAAAGAAGGTCAATCTAAAATCATGAATTGAAATGTGACAACACTAGGAAGGAGAGAGCATAAACATTCAGTAGAAATTTTTGGACACTAGTATTCAAAAAAAGGGACCAGCTTGTTCCGCAATTAACAGCTTCTCGTTAAAGAACAGAGCTAAAACGTGATTCTATATTAAGAAGAATCATATCCTTGTTTTAGCAACTCATATAAGGTCAATAAAATCTCCAAGTTCAGACCTTTTTTCCTCGTGTGTTTTTCCCCCCTCTAACAATCAATTTAAGTTTAACTTTAGTGAATAAAGAGATATGAATTTGCTAATCTAATTAATTTTGGGTATGAACCTGCTCGCATAAAGTTATGTTCAAAGTATTCCAGGTTAATATAGAAAGTAAGATACGCATATAATCAAATAGGTTGTAGGCATTGCATAAGAGTAACAAGTACTAACAGAACTTGTACTCACACTTTACAGAAATGAGACCCTGACACGAAGATTCAGCGTAGGAAATTGCAAGAATTTGGATGTTGAAACTAAGGATTTGTCTGATTTAAAGCAATTTCCAGCTGCCGCTATTCGTAAGAGCTCGGCCCGCCCAATCTGGGAGATATTGAGGAACAGCTTTTGGACAACGTACGACTACTGCATAGTACATCTTAGTAACTTGGAGAAAATGACAAAAATGGTCTCATATGTTTACAACAATAGGTTTAAAATAGTCCCTTAAATATACTTATAAACAGTTTAATCCTTTACGTTTGTCATAAGTTAGCATTTTTGGTCTCCATCAAACTTTTTCCATGGTTCCCATTAAATTTAACAACCAATGTTTGTTAAACATTTGACAAAGACCAAAAGTTTTCCCTTTTGACAAACCTAAGGAATCAAAACTGCTTACAAAACTGGAATATATTTAAAGGACTATTTTAATGAGTACTATGATGGATCAACTGGTGTCACTATTTTGTTAATCTATATTGAATTTCATAAGATACAAAGTTTTATAACATCTTATTTTCAAGTGAAATGGTAGGTATATGAAAATTTACTGAGCGAGGAGACTATGAATCAACTGATGGTTCAGCCAGTAAATGATGCAGTAATTTGCACCAAGCAACCTTGTTCTTGGCTAGGTGTGACATGACCTCTTCGCTACAAGATCACATGCTTTTTTGCCTTTCACATAACGATGGTGTCCGAACTAACTTGCACCTATTGCAACAACACAGCATCTACAGAGTATCTATTACCTCCCACTAACATAAATACCGAGTAAATTATGCACAAGGTCACATGTTGCTACTTGAGTTTGGCTAATTGACTGTGAAGTACCACCTATAGGTCCCAAATAGAAACTGCATAGCAACCACATATAACACTAGTACTATATAGTAGTAATAATAACATAATACATCAAAAGCACCTCTGCCGGGGACGGAATTTTTGAAAGAAAAAAAAAAAAAAAAAAAAAAAAAACTTTCTTCCCCCCTGTGCAGTATATCAGATTGACGGCAAAGGGAACGGGAAGTAACGGGATTCAAGTGAACTCATCTCGCAGGAGATAACATCTTTCGTCCATTATTCAATCAGAGTCCATTCGACTTTCATAGGGAAAAAACGTGTGTTTAACAAATCATCGTTTTAAAAAGCACTAGAAACTTTATAATATATCCATTAATCCATATCAAGACTGACAAAAGCTACCTTACGAACAAAATGTTGGTTACAAGTATCCCAGAACTTAAGCAGAGAAAAGGTACAGAAAGCCTTAAAACCCAATAAATACTATGCTCCATTCTCTGTTGAGATCATTTTCTGAGCCAACATCTTTTCGATTATCATCTTGAGCGCAGAGGCACTTGCCCGACATTTATCATCTGAAAAGCAAGATCTTCCTTCTTCAGCTGCTTTACATAGCTGAGGATCCAGTGGCACTTCCCCAAGAAAAGGGACACCCATATCACCACACATCTTTGCAGCACCTCCACCACTGCTATCAAAAACTTCACTAAAAGCAACTAAGTTTAGCATTTCAGGGGCTTTTTCTCTCATATAAGCCATGGCCCACTCGGTCATGTCTTTTCGCTCACCGGTCTCTGTCATTCTCATGAATTTGAATTCTGAGAGTGGCTGGGAAAGACCGCTCATGTTCTCAACAACACCAAGAACCTCCACCCCGACTTTCTTGCAAAAACTAACTTCTTTCCTCACATCTATCAGAGATACCTGTTGAGGGGTTGTGACGATAACTGCACCATCTATTCCAGTTGCTTGTAGGAATTGAACAATTGAAATATGCTCATCCGAGGTCCCAGGTGGAGCATCAACCACAAGAAAATCAAGCTCTCCCCAATAAACTTCTTTGAGGAATTGCTTAATTAGACCATTCTTGCGGGGGCCTCTCCATATGACAGCTTCATCAGGGTTGGGAAGCATGAAACCAATTGACATAACCCCAAGGTTAGACTCAACATAAACAGGGGACCATCCAATGTTACTCTGGTGAATCTCTTGCCCTTCTAGACCAAGCATCTTCGGGATGCTGGGGCCACATATATCAATGTCAAGAAGACCTACTTGAAAATCCATAGCCGCCAATGCAAAAGCAAGTTGAGCTGAGAACGTACTCTTACCAACACCACCCTTGCCAGACAAAACCAGTATTTTGTGCTTCACAGTTGCCATTCTTTCTACTATTGCAACCAAGTCTGCACGAAACCATAAATACAAACACTTGGAAAATGAGTACGAGATGTTTAACCTTTGATAAATAAAGCCTGTTATACTACTGTGCGCAATCGTTGACAGGTAGTATATAAGTAATTGGGAAAAGCAACGGCTGACATATACAGCATGCATTTGACCCCAGAAATGTCCCAACTTGGCAAATAAACAATCTAGTCAGTATTACACTATCAACCACTTTATCATTCAACTTTCGAGAACCTAGGGTGTCCGCATACTAGCTTTCAATAGCAAACAAATTATTCATTAGAAAGCGTGAGTCAACAATATTCAAATTTCCTTTGTTACTTACTGCAACATATAAGAGCTACTTGAGTTACACTATCTATATGAGAACATAAATTCAAAATTAATGTACCAAGGCATTAGTTCTAAAATTAAAAAAGGTAACATCTGAATGAGAACTAGATGCCTATGCCGGAGAGGTGCTTATTAATGTGATTTAGGCATTCTATAGTGTGAATGCTTGCACGTTTTTGTGTGGAGAAAATCCTTTCTTTCGTTGCTCATTCCACAACAATGAATCTTCAGAAATATAAAATTCCTTCAACTTCTTCTAAGTTCCCTTCTTGCTGCACAGACTAAAAAACCCTCTCCGACCAATCATTGCAGAGTACACTTTGATGCTCGGTATTTCTCTTTCTTTTTTCTGCATATGACATGCACAGTCAAGTCGTTCTTTTTTTGATTGGTAAAGTTTATGTCTTTCAGTGAAGTTCAGTTAAAAGTTTATCCTTTCTTAAACTCATTCCCAAGTTAAGGATTTAAAATTTTGAACTAATTCCTGAGTTGATGATCTTAATAAGATTCAAACAAATTGAATTAAGCATCCTTCCTTTATGACTTCAGCTACTGTATGAACATGGGTATATAGCCAAGGACATCAAAAAGACATAATGCAATAAATAACAAACATGACTGAAATTACTGGGAAAAACTTTAGTTTCTAAGACAGCAAGCAACCAACGATAATATATTGTACGCATATGTATCCTGTACTTCAGCAACAAGTGCACTCTAACTGCTGATAGTGCTTCATATGTAATGAAATTGCCGATAGTAACTTAATAATAGCCCCTCCATTGTGTTTCACTAACATAGTTTAACCACCCTGACTATTAAAAAAGAAAGACGAAGATATTATGCTGAGGTTACTTTGAACTATGTATATACACAATCTTGTAATAGTACTATAAGTGTTACCAAATGATTACATTCCGAATTCTAGAAGAAAGAAGCTTTTGCCATTTTTATAATATCAAACTAATTGGGACGGGATGTCTTTCTCTTAACATTTGGAATAAAGCAATTGAATTTTTCCCATCCCCATAAGCTTTGGCGCGCAGAGTTAACCCGATAAGATGCATAATCCAATCCAAGTGCGCACAAGCTAGCACGACAGTAGGATATTAAAAAATAAAAGGGATAACATTCCAAGTCGCAAAAATTGACACCTAACATTTCAAGGCAAGAAAAACAAGTTCAAACAAAGTATTTTACAGAATCATATTATGCACAATTAAAGAGTAAAATAGTGATGGAAAAAATATTGGAAAAAAGAAAAGACCTGGGTCAGGGCCTTTAGGAGCAGTAGCACAAATTTCCTGATTGGGACATCCTTGGCAAGCATCCGATTTTCCTGCTGTTTCTGATTGTGGACCTGGGCAATCTGAAAAACCAAAAAAAAAAAAAAACAAATATAGCGCTAATAAACAATTAAATACAAGAAAATAAATACTTAAGCTTTAAATCAAAGAATATACATACGTTCAGGAGCATTTTCTGGGATTTCATTGGACCCTCCTCCGTTTTCCATCTTTTGTCCCTTAGCTTTATCAAGGTGCAGGAGCAGCTAGAATACAGCACAAAGATTTAAACTTTATTACTGCTAAATCAGTAATTGCAAATTCGAGTACCTTTTTCTGCTGCAACAAGTCGATAGTTGTCGGTGTAAGGTTTTACAGAATTTAGCGATATTTTTGTAGGCTCTTTTATGCCGCCTTTTAGAGAAATGGCCGTAAATTGTAGTAATTCCTTTTGTATATTAGGGCTATTGAGTTTATATCACAGGACTACAGGAGAGAGATAAAGAAGGAAATGTTTGACTTTTACTTTACTTGTTCCATTACTCTAGATTAAAAGTAATCCCTTGAGTATGCATTGCATAGTTTGCACCCCTCAAATTTAGACAAAAATACTCGTTTGGCCATGAGTTTTGCCAAAATAAATTTGGGATTTATTTTCAAAACTCATGTTTGACCATAAATTTTGCCCACATTTTGGCAAAATCCCAAATCCCAAACCCCAAATCTCAAAATCACCCCAATTGCTGATTTTGGGCCAGAATCCTAAAACTTGGGAATTATATACATGTTTTTCCAAAATAAAGTTGGGAAATATATTTTGAAAACGTATGTCCAAACACATTTTCATCTTCAAACCAAAGTTCATCCAAATCAGATTTTTCAAAATAAATTTGGGATCTATGACCAAACGCTAGCTTAGCAGTTTGGATCTTTATCAAATATTTAATAAATTTTAAAAAAATATGAAAAAAGTATTAGTAGAAACCTACATTAGAGGTGCAATTTGTAGTTTTTGCTATTTTTGGTCAATTGCTTAGAGTTTGATGCAACTTTTGGATGTGTAATTACTAATTTCTGCTATTTTTGGTATCTAGTGCACCTTTAAGGATTTGATTGGACTTTTATGGTGTTTAAATTTAATTTTTTCCCCTAGATTTTAGGTCAATTAATGTACGTATATTGTTAAATATTTGGTGGAGACCAAAAGTGTTAATTTTTGGCGAACTTAAAGGTCCAAAATAGCTCAATGTAATACTTAAGGGACTACTTTGAACCTACTCTCAAACATAAGAAACTGCTTTCATTATTTTCTTTGTGTCTTGACATGAGTTTTTGTAATTATTCACACAATGGTGATGAGATTTAACAGAATTTAAGAAAGATAGAATGAAGAAGAAATGAAGAAATGATGAAGAAGAAGATGCATCAGAAGAGAGAGAGAGTTAGTGGAGAGTGTATTTCATTATTCAAAAGTGTATCTATTACAATGTAAAGTCTTATTTATATATCAATGTTTATCCCTCACATTAGCACTCTAACTGACTACTAATCCTGACATTAGCTAATTCTTCTAACAACCATTAACAACTTAACTAACTTCCTAACAACTTTAACATACAAAGACTATTATACCCTTACATTATTTAATACTCCCCCTCAATCTAGGTGGTGGAAAGATATTAAATATTCCTAGCTTGGACTTTAGATATTCATGTTGAACTCTGGTCAATCCTTTTGTAAGAACATCTCCAGTTTGATCAGTTGTTGATATGTATTTTGTAGTAATAAGTCCTTGTTGAATTCTTTCTCTCACAAAGTGACAATCTATTTCAATATGTTTAGTCCTTTAGGATTTGCAACTATTAGTATGGCTGCTTTGCTATCACTGTAAATATCAATAGGTAACTTAATATGAATATCAACTTCCTTTAGCATTCCATGTAGCTAGATTAGCTCAGCTACTATTGTTGCTAAGCCTCTATATTCAGCTTCTGCAGAACTTCGAGACACAGTGGTTTGTTTCTTTGATTTCTAAGACACCAACGAATCACCTATTTTGATTTAGAAACCTGTGACTGATTTTCTTGTCAATGGACATGTAGCCTAGTCTGTATCACAAAATGCAGTAATAGTATTAATCTGACTGCTAGACAATAACACTCCTTGACCTGGTTGATTCTTAATATACTTGACAATTCTCAAGGCAGCTTTTATATGAGATTTTTTAGGCTGTTGAAGGAACTGACTTAGAGTTTGAACCCCAAATGCAATGTCAGGTCTAGTTACAGTCAAATAGAGAAGTTTTCCTATCAGCCTTTGCAATGAGGTTTGATCAACCAATGGATCACTGCTTCCTGAGTTTTCTGTTTGTCCGGCATGCTCATCATACTGTTTTGAAGTAAGCTTGATATTGTTATCAATAGGAGTTACTGTTGGTTTTGTTGAAGTAAGTCCATCCTCTGAAATTAATTCCAGTGCATATTTCCTTTGATGCATGACAATTCCTTTCTGTGATCTAGCAAACTCAATTCCTAGAAAATATTTTAGTTCCCCCAGGTCTTTCATCTTGAAGGCATTTTGTAATGATGTTTTTGTTTCTTCAATAAATGTTAGACTGTCTCCTGTGATTAGTAGATCATCTACATATACTAAGACAATGATGATTCCTTCAGCAGTCTTCTTGATAAATAATGAATGATTAAATTGACTTTGTTTAAAATTGTACTTCTGAAGAGCCTCACATAATTTTGTATTCCACTGCCTAGGAGCTTGTTTGAGCCTATATAAGGATTTAATAAGCCTGCATACTCCGTTCTCCCCCTGCTTCTAAATCCCTGAGGTAATTCCATATATATTTCATCAAGTAAATCTCCTTGAAGAAAAGCATTGTATACATCTATTTGGTGTATATGCCATTTCTTTGAAGCTGCAATACTTAATACAGTTCTCACTGTAACCATTTTCACTACTGGTGAGAATGTTTCTTGATAATCAATCCCTTCAGTTTGACATATCCTTTAGCTACTAGTCTAGCTTTAAATCTTTCAATATCACCTGAGGCTTTGTACTTGATTTTATAAATCCACTTGCAGCCAATTGGCCTCTTACCTTCTGGTAGTGTTACAATATCCCATGTATGATTGTTTTCAAGTGCTTTTACCTCCTCATTCATAGCTTCTATCCATTTGGGATCTAGTATAGCTTCAGAATAACTGATAGGTTCAGTGATTGAAGAAGTTAAAGCTACATATGCTTGATACTTAGAAGATATCTTGTCATAGCTTATGTATTGATCTAAAGCATAAGGAACATTCTGATGAATGTTTAAGGATACAAAATCTTTCCAGACATGAGGATGTTTACCTCTGCAGGACTTTCTAAGCTGAGGTTGTTGTTGATTTTGAATTTCTGTAGACACCTGAGATATTTCAGGTAGTTGCTGAATTTCTGTAGATATTTGAGTGTGCTCTCCTTGAGTATTAGGACTATGTGGTTCTGAGTAGCCATAGTCTGTTGGTATGTCTAAATCATTTTCCTCTCCCATGTTTTGATTAGTGTTGAACTCTTCTCTTCCAACTCTATTTAAGGAATCATTGCTTGTTGTATCTGCTGATCTTATCTCAAATAATGTTTCACAGTTGTCATACAATGCTCCTGGTTTAGTTGTATTATCAACAAACACACGTTTTGAAGTACATGCTTTATTTATAAATGGAAATATGTATTCTCTAAATATGACATCTCTGCCAACAAAGAAAGACTAGTTAGTCAAATCATAAAATATATAACCTTTTTGAACTTCTGAATAGCCCATATGAGCGGATGGTTTTGTTCTAGACATTAATTTGTCTTTCTCCTGAATAACTTTAGCACAACATAAACAGCCTAGCACTTTAAGATGTTGAATGGAAGGGTTTTTTTATACAGTTTTTCAAATGGAGACAGATTTCTAATAACTGAACTAGGCATTCTATTTATTAGATAAAGTGCAGCTAAAACACAACATCCCTAGAATTTGATAGGAATTTGAGCTTGAAACCTAACAGCTCTTGTGACTTCCAATATATGCATGTGTTTCCTCTTAGCAACTCTATTTTGCTGAGGGGTATAAATACAAGTCCTTTAATGATAACACCCAAATTTTTGAATAGGATTTCACATACATAGTTTACAAGCTCTGTTCCATTATCTGTTCTGATAATTTTTATTATCTTTTCAAATTAATTTTTGACATATTTAAAGAAGTTTTGAATTGATACACACACATCAGAATTTGTTTTAGTAAAAATAACCATGTCATTCTTGAATAGTCATCTACAATAGTCAAGAAATATCTATTTCCATCCCAAGTAGGTATTTTATATGGTCCCCACAAATCTACATGTATTAGATCAAAACAACTTTTACTTTGAATACTACTTATAGGAAATGGCAGTCTAGTTTGTTTGGCACATGGACAAATTGTGCACTTATTTATTCTATTCTTGATGGTTTCTAAATCTACTTGAATCAGTCTTTTTAACACTTGTGTAGATACATGCCCAAATCTTCTATGCCACAACACTACATCTATGTTTCCAGCTTCAATTGTCTCATTACTTCTTGCAGTTAATGCCTCCAATTTCTCTTTTTCTCTTGACTCAGTGTATAGAAGATAAAGTCCAACATCTTCTTTACCAATTCCCTTCACCTTCCCAATGAAGAGTTCCCGAAACACACAGAAGTCAGGAAAGAATGTAGCTGAGCACTGCAATTCTTTGGTTAGTTTAGAGACTGATAGAAGATTATACTTAAATTGTGGAACATAAAATACATTTGTTATTATATTATCTTCTAAAATTGAGCTGGATCATGTATGTGTGACTACTATAATATCCCCATTTGGTAACAGAATTTTCTTTGAATTTCCTGTTTCAATAATTGTGTCTTTCTTTAGTAGACTTATGTTTGAAACCATGTGGTTTGTGGCACCTGTATCTATAATCCACTGTTTAATACAATCATTAACAAGTAAAGCTGTATCCATACCTGCTGCATTTGCAGATGAAGCAGTGTTATTAGACACAGTAGTTTTGTTCAATAGTTGAAGAATTTGTTCATACTGATTTTTGGTGAGTGCATAGTTTGCCAGCTGACTCATAGAACTTTCAGTGCTTGAGTTGTTTGAACCAACTCCAGTAATTTGATCACTCACATTTGTATTTTTTTTCATAGTTGAATGTAGATCCTTGCTGATATTCTTGATCAACTGAATTGTACTCAAAATTACTTTTTTCTGTTAGAACATTGGCATTATAAGTTGCATTTGTATTTGAGTTTCCATTTCCCCTTATTTTATTTTTGAAGTCTGTTGGATAACCAACTATCTTGTAGCAGTTTTCTTTGTTGTGCCCCTTCATCATCCAGAAATCACAATAGGCACTAAAATTCCTCCTAAACCTCTGATTATGATTCTGAGTTCCTCCAGTCTTAGAATGCATTGCAGCTTCAAAACTTCCCATTTGAACTGTTGGATTGGCACCCAGAATTCCTGTTGTAGCAACCACAAATTTCTGCGCTTCATCACTCACAATTAAGGCATATGCCTGATTAACAGTAGGAGAAGGATTTCTCATCAGAATTTGACTCCTAGCTTGTGAATATGAGTCGTTTAACCCCCATCAAAAATTGATATAGCTTTAATTTCTACAGATAGGCTACAAATTCCCTTGATTTTGAGCAATCACAGCCAGGTGATGGCACCAAAGCTTCAAATCCTTCCCATAGGTCTTTCAATTTTTAGAAGTACACAGATACTGAAGTTGTGCCTTGAGGCAGAGTAGCTATTTCCTTATGTAGATTAAAGGTTCTTGAGCCATCCACTTTGTTGAATCTTTTAGCAAGATCTTCCCAGACAACTTGTGCACTAGACGCATACATGATTCCTCCAAGAAGACCTTTTGCAATTGAATTCATAATCCAAGAAAGTACTTGCGTTTAATCTTTCCCAATGATTCCACATCATTTCTGGGAATCTTTCCTTCTTGCATATGCCATCTACCATACCCAGTTTGTTCCTCCCTAGCAATGCAAAACTCATAGATCTGAACCAAATTGAGTAATTCTCAATTCCAGTTAATTGAAAAGAGATGATCTGAATCACACTCACATCCGCATGAGACAAGAATAGAGGATGATTACAATTAATCTCATTGACTTGATTCACTTGATTTCCTGCAGATTGAGTTGCATACTTAGTAGGAAACTTATTTCCTGGAGTTTGAACCAATGTTTCACCATTTACTGTCATTTTTCTTATTTTACTCAAGATTCAGACATATTTGAACCAGATGCTAGCAAGATCAAAGAGAATTTCTGAATGAAATTTTGGATCGTTATGTGAGCTACAATTCTGTAGCGTGAGGGCTCTGATACCATATAATTATTCACACAATGGTGATGAGATTTAACAGAATATCAAGAAAGATAGAATGAAGAAGAAATGAAGAAGAAGAAGAAGAACAAGATGCATCAGAGAGAGAGAGAGAGAGAGAGAGAGAGAGAGAGAGAGAGAGTTAGTGGAGAGTGTATTTCATTATTCAAAAGTCTATCTATTACAATGTAAAGTCTTATTTATATATCAATGTTTATCCCTCTCATTAGCACTCTAACTGACTACTAATCCTGACATTAACTAACTCTTCTAACAACCATTAACAACTTAACTAACTTCCTAACAACTTTAACATACAAAGACTATTATACCCTTACATTATTCAATAGTTTTTAAGTTTTTTCTTTCAAAAAATTGAAGTTAATTTGAAAAAAAAAAAGATATTTAAAAATTAAAATTGTGTTTGGACATGCATGTCACTTGAAAAAGTAGTAGAGTTTTATGAGGAAAAAAATATGACTTTTTCAAACTTAAAACTCGGTATCTTATTTCATTTTCACTAGTTATACTAGTACTAGTTGTATACCACCGAGAAAATAACATTCAAATTGGAAACTGGCTAAACATGTTTTTAACATCATTATTTAATTTTTGTATTTCGATATATCTAGTTCACAAAACAAACAAATACCAAAACTGTATTGAATCTGTCATAAAATATAGATTTTAATTGTAGTATAAGAATAAAGTAATTAAAATGTTGCGGGCTAAAATTAGGTTAGAGAAATTTTTATTTCATACTGACATTATTTTGTGCTGGTATTTCTATTTTCACGTGATTTGTGTAATTTCGCTTTTAAAAAAATATATTATTTACATTTGTCCCTTTTAAATTTGTATTTCTTTTTGGCAAAATGGAAATATTTTATTCAACCAAGTAAGCATATACCCAGAGCTAGCTCAATTGGACTTATAGAGTTAGTTCTTACAAAATAACCAAATTTAAACCTATATAGCTAGTTGAAATTGGAAACCTATCAAGATGTCTCAAAGTACTTTTCCATTTACAATTGCCCTGCGCAACTATATGTAAATAGAGATTTTTTCCTTCCTATACCATATATGAAATTTTATTACTAAAAATGTGCACAGTTTCTAATTTACCCGCCCTGTCCACATTTTTCCTACAATTATTATACCATTCATTAAATACTAATTATTAGTAGCTGAATCGTCCTAATTAGGCGTGCTAAAATTCAGGAACGGAATCTTCTAATTGATTTAGCCACAAATCAAATCTGTTCAAAAGCTCAATTCGTCGAAATCAAATCTGTTCAAAAGCTCAGATCTGTTCTTCGATATTTTCACTTAAGACACAAATCAAAAGCTCAGTTCGACGAAATCAGAAGCTTAATTTCAAATTGTAGAAATCAGTTCTGCAAAAGCTCTGTTCGTCGACATTCTCTCTACATCTCTCTCTATTTCTCAATCGCAAATTTCAGTAATACAAAGCAAGTGAAAAGAGAGCAGCAATTCCACCATTGACAGCCATTAAAAAGCTTGAAAGCTTTGAATTCAAATTTGGGTTTTCAAAAATCATTGTTTGTTTGGATTGGGTGTTGTTGAAAATAATCGGGAATATGGTTTGGAGTTTATATCTCAATTTTGAGGGGTTTTGGTGAAGATTAGACTTGGTTTTGACTGAATTAAACTCGAAGAAGAAGAAGAAGAAAACATATTGCATAAATTGTAGATAAATTGTAGATTGTTTGTATTCTGATTGTAGATGCTTTATTTTCTGTTTTCACAAATAAAAAACGGCTAAAACTTCTACAAATCTTCTGAAAAAACGCAATTATGTCAAAAATCCCAATTATGCTACAATTGAATGGGAATTGGGGTATAAAAATTCAATGTACCCAGTTTGTAGATATTTTGTAGATAAATTGTAGATTATTTCTAATCTAATTCTAGATGCTTTGTTTTCTGTTTTCACAAATCAAAAACGACTAAAACTTCTACAAATCTTCTGCAAAAAACGCAATTATGTAGAAAATCCCAATTAAACTACAATAGAATGGGAATTGGGATATTAAAATTCAATATACCCAGTTTGTAGATATTTTGTAGATGAATTGTAGATTATTTGTATTCTGATTGTAGATGCATTATTTTCTGTTTTCACAAATCCAAAACGACTAAAACTTCTACAAAATCTTCAGCAAAAAACGCAATTATGTCGAAAATTTAGTTTAGAAACGACATACTATTTTTTTTTTTTTTTTTGTCTAGATAGCGAACCAATATCACTGTAGATGAGAGCATTCTTTAACGTCACGATGTTACAAAAATAAAATATTCCCAAATAACCAAACGCCACATATCCATTTGATGCAATTTATACAATTTGCAGTTCTTTAATTTTGCCATAAAAAAACTTACCTCTGATTCGTGGTTAGACATTGATGCGTTAACGTTCCGTATCAAACTCTTGTTCAATTATTCGACTTTGCCAGACAACAAGGAAAGAACAAACATAAAATCTATTTATTTAAAAAAGAAGAGGGAAAATTGAGAATTACTTGTCAAAAAGAGGGATATACGCTACCTTGAATTAAGGAGTTATATACGTTGTATTAATTGTACCCTTAAAATACACTATGGTATAGAATTGGTAATTTGGTATACTAAGTGCAATTAGGTCAAACCTTAAACATTGAGGGTAATAAGGTTTCCTATGTGGCATAGGAATGTAAAAATTTCATTTATTTAAGAGAAATTTTCAGAAATCGCTATTGTTTAGTGGCTACTAACTTTCTATAGCTAACATATACATAATTATTTCTATAGCTATTATTCAGTTGTTACGGTAGTATATTCGTTACAATCGCGCTAATGTATTCATGAATACAATAGCAAAAATTACCTAAAAATAGGGGATTCCAGCTGTATGTGACTGTATTCAGATGTATTCACGTCATGTATTCATGAATACAGTAACGACAATCACCTAAAAAAAAGGTCTATCCAGCTGTCTAATAACGGAAAGAGGATCAATTAACGTGATACACTCCTAATACAACTCAACAAAATCAATTCTAAATAAATTTCGCTGCTATTGTCATGCATTCCATGTATTCACGCGGCTGTATTTATGAATACAATGAGGTAAAAACACAGGGATTACAGATGTTTAATTATGTATTCTATGGCGCGAATGTATTTATAAATACAATGAGGTAATCCGCCTAAAAAATAGTGATTACAGGTGTTTAATAATGGAAAGCGCAATATTGAATTGTATGTAGTTCCACTATATTGAATTCAGTTGTATTCAAACAACAAAAAATCGCGAAAGGGATGTATACAGTTCTATTAAATTTGATTGTATACATTATATTTAATTCACAAATATTCACTATTATACATTGTATTCAATTTACTGTATTCAATTCGACTATATTTAAATAAACACAAAATCACAAAACACAATGATATTTGGTTGTATTCAAAAAATGCAGATCTTGGGAATACATAAATACAAACAAAAAATAATATATTTATATAAAAATATAATGTATTTGAGCGTATTTGTACAGAATACAATGCAGTTATATCATTGTATCATGTGACTAAAAAAGCAAATCATGGCTTTCCTGTTCGCCTTCTGCCTCATGGAAATTAGCATAAATTCATCTCATGAAGTGAATCATGTTCTTGTTTTAATTAGCTTGAGCAAAATTAAGATCTGGCAGTCATGTTCACTGATTCCTGTATTCGGCCAGATGAGAAGATTGTATTCAGAAAGAGAGAGAGATTGAAGAAAATTTTTGATGAGATTTTGAGAGAGAATCGTATGTTAACCGAAAGAAAGATTAAAAAAAAACATAAATAGCGTATTTCACGCCTTAATGATAGGATGTACCATAAATACCTATTTTGCTATAAAAAATAAAAAATAGCTATAGAAAATAATATTTTAAAATAATTTTGATTTATAATAAATAGAGTGTATACATTTGGTATAGGAGATAAAATTTCCTTTCTTTTACTATGTCGGCATATACCCTACTCTTCGCTTGAAATGTGATAAATGGTAGCAGCAAAAAGAAATCCCAAAATGAAACATGACATCGCCCAACTTATATGATTATCTCTCTCACTACATGGAATTACACTGGGTATGTTGTTTCTTCTTCTTTTTATTTGGTTGGGGGGGGGGGGGTAGGGGAGGGTGTTTCTCAAAATGCATCGTGCAGCTCGATAGAAAAACAGAAAACAACACAACATTTAGAATTACTATAATCAAAGTGCTTTCAAGAAAAACATCAATCTTCCCAATTCCAAGAACAAACTGTTTTATCTCTAAAGAAAACAAACAGACCTAGAGCGGTAGGTATACTGCTAACTACTTACTCTTCCTCAACTATTCTTCCCTTCTCGCTGACATAGATACCATCAAGGAACTTACGGATATCTTTGTTCTTCACATGGCATTTCTGTCCAGAAAAAAAAAACAATATATGACCTCAATATGTAAGATCTTGATATTCACTATGAAGAGTAAACACATATTACGGCGAAATAGAAAAGAAACGGAGGTTTACTTGGTTAATGAGGGCAGCAGATCGTGAGACAAGTTCAATGTCATTTCCGTCCAATACCAACTCATCCTTAACTTTTTCTGAGCGGACAACAGTAACCCCTTCAAGCATATCGACTTTCCTCACCTGAAAATCACAGCAAACAAGTCGGTTTCTTAGCGCTCTACACTTGAGAAATGTCCATAATAAGTGCAAGAGCAAAATCAAATTATATGATCTCAAGGTTATTTAAATATCCATCATGCTGACATGCGAGACAGCAGTGTATTGAGGATCACCGCATTCAAACAAGATCATTACAAGCAAATGCATAGTGAATACCAGTGATAACGGAAGTTTTTTACATTTAATATAACAATATCAGTTCCAAGCAAAGGGCAATAGATTCTACATTATCTAGTGCTAGAAGACAAGAGTAGACAAACATATGAATCATTCTAGGAAGACTTCCCTTTAACTATGACCAAAAGGGGAAAGGAGGGGAGGGGGGGGGGGTGGGGGGGAATTTTAATGAAAACGTAAACAGG